TTCAGCACTAGGGCTCTGGTTTTGGTTTTGCTCAGATCAAATCACCACTTCAGCAGCTGTGGTCAGGGAAGATCCCGCGTTACAGAAATAGCGACTTTGGGCAGGAAGGTACTACGTGATGTTAAGGGGGTTCTCCGCTCGTTCATTTTTCTGCCTCCTACAAATCCTAGCCCAGCCTCTGGGCTAGAGAGGACACCTGTTTAACTCTTCCAGTTCTGAGGATTCATCTAAATAACGGCTGCCACCACCCCAAGGTTGCCTTATAGTTTACAGCACTTTCAGTAAACTCTGCCTATGCATCCTTCTTTGCATCCATCGTTTGCTCTCAGAGTAACGTAGTCTTCAGTAGGCATCCCTGCAGATGTCTAGCTTGCAGTAAGGAAACCTTGTCCAAAGTGGATAGGTGGTTCTTTGGAAGTCTCTAGTGTCACTCCAATCATTTCACCCACTAGACCTTTATATGTTGAGATGTAATTGATATATCCTTTATCATGCCCTCACCTAACGGAGAGTTCTACACTGTCTTCCGAGCACCGCGCCGAGGACACCCTCAAGGCTAAGCCCGCCTGGGCAGACGGTGAGCCTCCAGGTGCAGACCCAGAGCTTTCCTTGTAGCACGCAGCACATGCACGGCTGAGGGTGGCAGCAGCACCACATGCTGCCAGATGCAATGGAAGACCCTGCTTCTAGGTCTGTGCTGATCATGGATGGACAGGAGCTTGGCCGGAGTTCGTTCTTCAAGAGTGATAGATGCAGTCAACATATCTTGGTTCAACTGGTCTCATTAAGTCAGTGGTAAAATCCCATTGACTTACTGGAATAGAAACAGCTGAGTGGGATGAACAGTGGAGGACAGCACTGCTCAGCCAGGTCACAGGCAGCCAAACCCATGTTCTGTGTGCAATTTGAACTCTCTCTAGAGGAAAGAAGATACACAAGCGTTCTCCCCTGGTTACCGAGGATAATCGAAAATATGGACTCAAGAAAATGAATGCTGTATTTATACTCAAAACTTATGAATCCCTTTTAATAAGTGTACATCATCAAACAGCCACAAAAATGAAATCAGACTATATAAACGGCTGGCTGCTGGAAGAGGACTCTTAGTAAATGACTGGCATTTATTGTATCAAATGGCATTTTTTCTTACAGCACTTTCTGAGAGAGAAGAGAAAAAGGATACTGCACCTTTCATGTTCCTTGGACTCTGTGTCATTCTTTTTGCTTGAATTACACAACTGGTCTACATTTGGTGGCCATTTTAGGCTTTTAAAACTGTTCAACATAAAAAATATTTTTCTTCCAAAAATACACTGGGTTCTTTCTGTTAAAAGTCATCTTTCTCCTGTAAAAATCTTCCCCAGCACTGCATTCTTATATAAAGCACTTATTACACAATTTGCTGAAAGTGCCCTTGAGACGCTAAGATCTGAAGCATGGAGGATTTTTTTTTTCTTTTAAACGGAGAGAAAGAAAGGAAAAGGAAGAGAGAGGAGAGGAGAAGCAGTCTGTCAAAAATTTTCATTGTCATGTCCACCTGGCTGCATCTACTATGGGCATACAGGGAAAAAAAGAAAAAAAAAAGGCAAGAAGAAAGAGGAGGAAAAAAAGGAAGGAGAAGTTGGGAGTGGAAGGGAGAAATAAAAGGAAAACAAAAGTTTCATCCTAAGCCTGGGATCCTCCAGGCTGTAATATTCCAGCTGATAGAAAAACCACTGAACAAAAAAAGTAGTCTAGAAAATAGAAAGTGTTGTGATTACAAAGTTGAGCATTTCATCAGTACAAACTGGTCTTTGAACGTCCTTTGGGAGAGCAACTGTAGTGTCCAAATTGGAAGGAAAAAATACAACACCGCATGGAGGAGGATTTTTTTTTCCCTTTTGGTTTATCACAGCATTTTTCTTTTTTTTTTTATTAATTTTTTTTGGCACAGCTTTTTTTTCCCAGCCATCAGAGCAAGTTCTCAGACGCAAACCAAACAGTGCAATGCCTAGCTCGTGGCTTCATGCTTCCAAGGCTGAATGTTCCAGGTGGAAACCATTCCCTCCCCCTCTGAAGTGACTGTGTTTTTACTCCTTGATGAAGGTTACGGACAAAATACTAGACACCTGTGGCCAGGGAGAGCTGGTTTCACGGTACACTCTAACTTTGTTCAAGTTCGTACAGTTCTGGAGCTGTTAAGAATAGTTTTGAAGAGTGCTTCTCCCCACACATTCACTGCTGGTCCATTTGAAATTCCTTCTAAAACCTTTCACTTTTACTTCCGCAGATCTAGAACACAAACCTGGAGAGAAAAGACTCAGCATTAAGAACCATTTCTGAAGGTGACATGGCAGTCCTAGTCATGTAAGTCGCAGTACAGAGGCTGAGCACCCAGCTGTATGTTACACTCCCCAGCTTCGAACCAGCCTGTCTCCAGTACCTGTTTACATACACACAAGCAAGGGAACTAACTACCTGACATGGGAGAAAACCCAAGTGAAAACCATACATTTAACACCTAGCTGGGCTTTCACGGGATTACAAACAAACATTTTGGTGGCACATCCAGATAAGACTATGGGCTCTATTTAGTTGCTGTATTCAGACACAGTGTCCACTTCCATTTCTGAAATATATCCAAAATAGATGCAGAGGCCTGGCAGCCATGACACAGGACCTAGAGTGGACACGCACCCATATGGAGCAGCTGTTGGAAGCTAGGCATGGCACCACTGCAAACGGCACAACTAAGCTCAAGCAACTGAATCATGTCATAGGTATACCCTTTGTCAAAAACAGTTGAAAAATACTGCTCTAAAGTAGTTATGACAGCCAGCCATGTAGAAAAATTATTTTAAAAAGCTATAGAGTGTGTTATAACATGTGTGCATCCTTCACAAGCTGATCATGCTAAAAATGACACTTTTAAAAAGTAACGTTAACAGCAAAAATAGTAATGAATAATCAGTATCTCTATGGCAATATTTCTCCTTTACAATGTGATGAAATCTTTGGGCATCATGCTGAAAACTTCCTCTTTTAGGAACTATTCAAGGGTAAACTTCTTCTGTGGGATGAGACTCAGAAAGCCCCAGGACAATTGTTTATTAGAAAGTTGATTGCTGTGACCTGACCTTCATTAAAAATTGACAGATGAGATAAATAATGATAGAAACAACACTACTGTTGTTCTTATCAAATATGTATTTAAAAGTCATTCCCATCTTCAGTAATATTCATGTATTCCACAAGCATTCTTCATTTCCAGTAGGAACACCACCTCCTAGTATCCAAAACCTTCCAAAGCAGGAGCAGTTTTAATATACTCCACAGAACTACTTATTTCTGTCTTGAGCTGTCCAGCCTTCAGCTCTGTCCAGAGACGGCAGTATGGCATGTATGTTTTTTTGCTCTCCAGAAGACTAATCTCCACCCAACACTTACAATGTGTAGAGCTCCTTACCGATCCGTCTGATGCGCTTGCTCCCACTTTGTCTCCTCTAGCATTCCAGCAGACTTCAAAGATGCCCCCGGTGCCTCGGTAGCTATGTACTAGAGTTCCACTCTACAAAGCAAAACAGCATGCAAACATTTGATACAGAAATTACCCTTCTTTTTCTCTGTCGCGTGACACTACGTTAAAAAAACAGAGAGTGGTAGTGAGGGCGGGCTATTCACATCACCCAACTATGGTCATTTCCATGAGGTCTTGGAATTAGGAAAATGGTCTTTGACAATGAAGAGAAACAGGCTCCACCAGAAAGCAATTTACAGTAGGACTCTCAGACATCTGTTTTTATCAGCGTTATAAGAGTAAAGGCCTGGTGAGTTAGGCTGAGGGGGTCTCATCTAAAGTTTGTTGTTAACTCAACAGCTAACTGTTGTTGTTACTGTGAGGCATCACTGTCCAGAATTAAATCTGTGGAACTATGATGTCCCACTTTTCTCCAGAATGTCCCCACTCCCCAGCCTGTACATCCTTTGTATCTACCATCTCCTCATCGCAAAGTATAAGCCAGCTGCATCGGTCTCACAGCTGAACCCAGCTTGTTACTAAATAAAAGTATCACTTATTTCTAAGAATCAACCCACACCTCTGCTTCACAAGGCTGACGGCACAATGTGACGCACCTACTTTCATGCACGCTAGTGTTTTAGCAGACGATGAAGCCTGAGCAGAAATGTCCTGGACAGTCACCTCACTCCACCTGAGTGACTCAACTGTCGTGCTGGGATTTGTATCAGCCAATACAATCAGGTTCACCTTGGCTGGCAGGTCATACGCTTACAGAAGCACATATATTTTCCATTTAAGCTTTTGTTATTAATGCGTCATCTAAACCAGATGTGCTTCACATGAAGCAAAACAGTACCTGAGTATTCCATATATGGACACATTTGTCAAAGGACCCACTGGCTAGATATTTTCCATCAGGACTAAAAGCTACACTGTAGACAGGCTCTTGATGTTTTGTTAACGTATGGATGCAAACTCCTCGGTCAACGTCCCACAGCCGAACAGTGGAATCAAACGAAGCACTGCAAGAAGCATTCAAACACAAGCACGTCTTAATTTGAGTGTTCATCAGTTTGTAGTTTGATACTGTAAATGTTTTAAGAGAGTAACACAGGGTTTTTTCCTTTGGCTAGGCAAGAAATAACGTTTCAAACAGAAAAGCTAATATTCACTACAGCCTTAACAAGAACTGTATCTACAAAACTGAATTCTTCTATGTGGCACCTTTGAATTTATCTTGGGGTGCTGTACATAGGATCAGATCACTAGCCCTGAAATGGCCAAGCTCCCGCTTCTTGAGATTCTACCTGATATTATTCAGGAAGGTAAAGTATATATTGTCATTAGTAGGGTAAATGTTCCAGAGAAATCTTATTCCTAATGGACTTGCATTATTTAATGAATCAGCATCCTGTAATTCTCTAGAACTGTGGTTCTTTTCGCTTTGTTTCAGTGCTGTTTTTTGCTACAATCCATCTAAATCCCAAACTGTGGTCTTAGAAAAAGGCAAGGGAAATAACTGGTATTAAAATAGCAACTCCAAGAACACAAAGTTCTTCCTCCCTGTCTGCTTCCAGACTAAGGAGTAAAATAAACAAAACAGCTTTGCTACAACTCCTCTACAAACTGAATACACCATGAACTGATGTGATAATCCCATGGTACTACCATCAACTGGCATTCTATCTCCTAAACTCAAAGAGGAATGTTGAACAGATTTTCAAGTGGAATTTTAAAAGATTATCCAAGCTTTTCTCTGTTAGTTAACATGGCTATAAAAATTGTCAGTACCTGCCCAGGGGAGTTGTGTGACCCTGGTTAGAACACATTCCAACTGGCTGAATGGGCTGCCACCTGCCTCATTAAGCACTCTCATTCATAACAACGGATGCCGGATGTGAAGGTGCAATGCCAAATTTACAATCCTTTTGTCAAGACAGCTGACAAGTTAAATTTCACATGACTCTATTTTCCTTCTTTTTCCTTTTTCAAATACGATTCCTTTCCCTTTGTATCCATGCCCCGATTTACAAATGCAGGTACTTTTGATTGGAATTGTCCGCAGGAAGAGTGACAGCAAGGTGACAGTAGAGTTACATGTGAAAGACGATCCTTCTTCTTGGCAGGCAATAGAAATATTTTTTACCTTGCTAACATGATGTTGGAGTTTGGGTTGCTGGTGCCTGGTCCTGTAGGACTCCATTTGATAGTATAAATCTCTTTGCTGTGAGCCTGAAGATCATGTACACAGGTATCTTGCTTCATACTCCAAATCTAAGTAAGGGTAATTATGAAAGGGAAAAATGGCAATGTTACTAATCTCTTCTCAGCTGAATTATTTCAGTTCTATGTTATTCTTACCATTTGTTTATTTAAGATCTCTACACACATGCATAGACATAAACATAACCTAATTGAAGTTTATTAACGCAGCAGTTTGGCACCTACAGTGCACACACGTTAGAATAACCCCATTAAAGGGAAGAGCTACACATTTAGTAGTATTTATTCAATAGATAAGAAGAACTAAATAGTTGCTGTACTGCTCATAGGCTGTAACTGTATTTGCATACAGAAGCTTAAGTTACTCCATTTAGAGATGTTTAACTGCAGTTTAAGTCACACGTTGCAACAGCAGTCATCTTAAAGAATGAAAATAAAGTTTCAATAACTGCTTAGAACCTAGTAATCGCCTCTTATGCCAGTCAAGAGACACATAAAATTTTCCTTTTCCTCCTGAATTCCATTTGTTTTCCTGATGTTTTTAATAGCACAGACAATGGAACAAGAGCAGCTGTTTATGTGGTATTACATGGCCGAATACTTCAGTGTGAGATAAAGAACATGCTCAACAGAGATGACAGGTAATTTAGTACATCTCTTCTTCATCTAATCGAGAAAGCAAGATGAAGCTAATTCACAGCAGGGAAAATAACTCAAATTTGGTCAGTCAGTTTCAGAGAGATACTAAAAATGTAGTAATGATTTAACTCACTTGTTATAAGCCTGTACCAAGAGGGAAATGTTGTGCTCTTATGCTGAATTTTCAGCAGCATACCTTAGTCTGCTTTTGAAAATGTTATGCAAAGCTTAGCCATGTTCTATGGCTAACAGGCAACAAGAAGTTGTAGGAAAATATTAAACAGTCCAAAGAAGAAATAAAAGAAGCCAGAGGAGGCTGATTTCCAAAGGAATAATAATAAAAATGATGGTAATAATAATAAAATAGCCTGAAGAGGATTTGCAGTGTTCATCACTAAAGATGTTTCAAAACAGGTGAGGCTGGGGAGAGCAAACCGTTAGCTCTTGTGCCAAATCCAGTGGTCAGAAATTTCAGCTGGCACACCACCACTGAGCCGCAGTGGTTCTTAAAACACAGCACACAACTGGGCACCAAAAAAATGTGCTACTATTAGGTGAGGATGTTTAAGCAAAGTAATACTGGTTACTACAATACTGCTTTGTGGCAGCACAACAGACAAGGTGCTCTCTTTCAGTCTCTTCTAGCCCTATTTTCTTTCAATTTCCAGTTTTGCGAGTAGTCTGGAATACTACATCTAGAATCCAAAGCGACGAAAACCCCAGTGGGTACATGGCAAAGACAGAGTAGAACTGAGCAGAAGTCAGGCTACCTGTGACGAGAAACCAGTGATAAGGCTGACGTTCACTTAGCTCTCATCTACAAGTTCTGCTGCTCTCAGTTTCAGGTCTTACACACAGGCTGTGTGCATGCCAGAAACGCCTCTCGCTTCAGCTGTGTCAATGAGCAGTGCAAAGAGGTATAAGCCTTTATTAACACAACTATACTACGAGGAAACTGTATTACTGGTACAATTCTATCCATGAAACCAAATCTTTACTGGGATGTTTGCTTTTCTCAGGGAGCCAGCATAAAGCAACGGGCCAGCAGGAGGGCTTCGCTGTTACAACACACGGCCATTCCTGTGTGGACGCAGCCGCCATTCAATGTGGCTGGGAAAGGAGAATGAGGCTGCGAAGAGTTCGGGCTGGAAAAGCTCTATCATGAGCAGTGTTTTGGCAGGCCCAGACTCCCTCTGTATTAGCATTAGTTTGCTGGTACAGCGCAACGGCCCAGGTGTGCTGGTAAAGCAGCCTACGCTGCCTGCAAGCCAGAATCCAGATTCATTCCATCTCACTTCAGGCACCTAACAGAGGCATGTACATCAGCAGCGTAGCTGCCTCAGGCTCCCCATGCGGTGAATGGGTAGAAAGAAGCATCTTCAGAAAGCAGATTTTTGGTGGGCTCTGAATATATATGTCGTGTCCCATCGCTTCATCCAAAGCTATTAAGAAAAATGATCAAACGTCTCCAGTGAAATTATTTTCAGAAAAAGACTCCAAAGGGAAAATTCTTTATTTTTATATTCTTTTTTGAAGTGTAACCATTAGACTATGTCTTAGCATAGGGATTGTGCCTCTGTTGACAGGCAAGCAGGTGTGTGTGTGTGTATATATATATATGCATGTATTTAAACTATGAGTATTCTGTGACAGTGACACATCAGTCACTTAACACTAATTTGGATAGGAGGTCTCAGTTTTCCCAGTGGCTGTTTCTCTGTATTCAGTCTTTCACACTGACTTTAAGAAATATGGGACAAAATTAAACTATTGTTCATGCAGAGTTTTAAGTGCTATTGTACCAGCATTCTGGAGAAAATGAAAAAATAGACATAGTTTTTGTCTTTACTTTTTTAACAGCAAGAATGGAAATTATATTACCTTTAATGTCATATCATCGGAGCAAGATGCTAGTAGCATGCCAGATGGGTCCCATTTGATTGCATTCACCTCATTCTGAAATAAAGAGTGATTTTATTAAGTAAATATTCCGGTTACTGCATAGTACTGGGCACCCAGCAGAGGGCACTCAAGGTTTATGCATGCAACAAGTTCAACCACAAATTATAGCCCTGGTTGCTTTATGGGTGAGCAAAAGCAGTGCTGCTTCCATAACACGCTACTTGACAGTCATTTAGCAATGGTAACCATTTTGTGTTTGTGAACAGTACACACAACCGGTCTTCTGCTATGTGTTCTGGCACAAAGTCTTGCATACCCTTTCTTCATATGCTAGGATAAATAAACCCTCAAACCAGACAGATCGATGAGACCGCATTTACTTTTTAAAATTGATGTATTTCTTCAGTTAATATTCTGTAGATCTCAGAGATCGATGAGACCGCATTTACTTTTTAAAATTGATATATTTCTTCGGTTAATATTCTGTAGATCTCAGAGACACAAATTTTCAGTAGGAAATACTGGTGGGGTGTAAAGTTGTGGGGAGTTTATAATTCTTCGTATTGCAGCTCTACAACAAAGCCGGTCTCTCTAAAAAGAAGTGTACGTGTAAATGAAATCCAGGATGGAATGTTGAATTGTTTATGACGCTTTCCTCTATCAATCTTTCTAGCACTTTGTAATTAAGTAAGTCTTGTGTATCCCCATAGTAATGAGTGAGTTTCCTGCATTTTTTTGAGGGTCATACGTATGAGGGGAAAAAAGCATTTCATAAAAAGGGAAAGATTGTTGGTGAAAATAAACCTGGAAAACATTTAAATTTTGCTTTGTCCATTTTACATGTTTCAGTCATAATTAAAAGGAACTGTACAGCTATTTGAAGTAAAAATTTGGATCATGTGCAAAATGGTGCATTTCGTATAATCACAAAAAGCACCAGCCTGTTGGTAGGAATGTACAACCTGTCATAAAGTATCAGTTTAGTATCAGTTTAACCATAGACTAGATGAAGGTCTCCAAATGCACAATTTTTCCTCAGTGGGGAGATACCAAGTTCTGGAAGTTAATATCTAAATTACTGGTCAGTATCTGATAGCAGTTTTCTCATGAATGAAAGATACGAAGACTAGTCTTTGATGGTCATAAAATACCACCAGGAAAAGAGGGAGGAAATACATCTTAAATAGATCTTATTAGATTAACTTGATTCTAAAACCGAACAATGGCTGGAGGTAAACTGTTATCTCCTTATTCAGAGTTCTCTTTTACTACAGGAAATTAAACCAGCAGAAAACAAAATCTTATTTATTAACATGTCCTGAGTCTGCAGCTCATACTGCATATAAATAGTCTCACTGTTTAAGCTGCAGGTTTTGCCTCCTACAGTGATTTAGAACAGTTTATCCCTTCTCACAGGCAGTGAATCACTCCCAAGGAATAGGGTTTTAGGGAAGCAATGGGATGTAACAGCTTCAGCACTAGAACACACCCTGCAAACACATCACCTGCCATCATCGTAACATGCTGCTGTGACTTTGCCACTAACATTTTGGACTTTTTAAACTTACTGTGTGTCCTTGAAAGGTTTTAACGGGACGATCGCAGCCAAGTCTGCATACATGAATGCACATGTCAGTGCTGCAGGAGGCAAAAGTAGTGTTGTTCTGCCAGTCTACATCCAGAGCAGGAGCTGTGAAGTACAAACAGCAGAAGGAACATCAGGGAAACCAGCAAAGAGCGAGCTATCCCAAATAATTTTCCTCCTGTCACCCATCTGGATCAAAGGGACTAAAAGCTAGTTCTGGGCCTATCACCTACGACCAGTTACAGGGATGATAGGGACTGTCTGAAGGGCACAAATAATTTTTTCTCTTGCAGTGGATAATCTGGATGCTTTGCATGGCATCTATTTATGACAGTCTTTTGGGTTAAGTTACTTAAGAGCGGGCAAAACAATCTACCTCCACCCTCCCTGCTACACACGTCTCTTGGACCACCGCTACCATTCATTCCTCTGTAAGCCAGTTCAGCGAAGAACCTGGAAGAAAACTAATCCAGAAAAAACATGGATAATTTCAGCTGGGTTAGAAAAAACGTTCCGGTGAATGCCAGACACAACACATGGGAGGGGGAAGCAGCAGATGGCCATTTTCCTTCCACTGATACAAACCTATTGTTCTGTGCAGACGCGTGGATTAGTAACACCTACGTTCAGTTTAATTTAGTTGGGGATTGATTTAAAATAGAGACATTGATAAAGCTGATCTGAAATGAGAGGAGTTTCTGTAGCGGGTTTGCCATTAACTAGGACTGAAGGAATGAAACTGTGTACATAGATAACACATGAACATGTAACTAATGCCTGCGTGCGACACACCCGCTTTGCAAAAAGTGTGGGGAAAAAAGAGAAAAAAAACCTTTTACAGCATGTCACTGCAGACTAAAAGCATGCACAGGAGTAGGAGGGAACTCCTGACATACAGCTGGCTTGTGTTTCTATGATGGCTGCTTGCTTTTTTGCTCAGGAAAGAGTTTAGCTGCCCTCCAGAGGATGACATCAGACTTGCTAAACTACAGAAATCTACATTCCCAGCACACTCCTGAGAGAAGCAAGTGTGTCAGAACGAGACCAGGATATAGGAAGCAAAGTTGAATCTCTTTCTGGCAACACCACAATGCAGGTTTAGCATTAAAACGAAACCAAGAAATGCCTTATTCAAATATATTCAGAGAAATACTTTTGTAATACCGAGGTGGAAAGATATCTGTTCTGCCAAGCCTATTACATTTAAATGTTTTTTCCGTTATAATTTTTATGAGCTGCAAAATGAGACTGAACCACATCACCTGAATCATCAGGTAGCTCTAAATAAGAACTGAGGGATGAAATTTGTTTCAAATAAAATATATGTTAGAATAGTAATGAAAAAGCTCAATAATTCTCTGTGACTGGTAAGAAATTCCTGCACTGCAGAAATAGAAAGGAAATCTCTGTAAGGAAGGCAGGTTACTTCTGAGTTTTTCAATGATCTTGAGTGGGGATCAGGAAACAGTAAAGGATTTTGTTTCTTTAACTGCCTGTTTGTCTTTTTATGCTGCAAGCTTTGTATTACTGTTTCAGAGCAAACAAAAAATCTATCTTCATTACTAGCGATATGCCTTTAGGGCTAATATCTAGTATGATACGTATGAGTTGAAAAGTAATTTTCTGAGAGATATTGGCACCTAAAGCAATGGATTTGCACTGCAGCATAATTTGAATCATAGAGTGTTGATAATTAATACTGATTCATTTATTGGTGTATTTAATCATATGTTTACTGGGTAAGTAACTACATAAAATGGTCTGGAAAAAACAACCAAATGTGGTTTTTGATGCAAGTAATCGAATTTCCAAAGTGTCTCCAAAACCACAGGACACTAAGCCGATTGCATACAACCAATTAGAATGTCATCTAATAAAAGCAGCAACAAACCCTTAAGAAATGCAGCTAAAATAAATACCAGCAATAGAAGTCTTAGAATAATTGTCAGTTAATTTAAGCCTTTTCTGAACAAATTTAGGTATGATTCAGAATTAGAAGCTCAGAAGAAGACAGAGTTAAGTTTCTGCAGGGAGTGATTCAGAGCAACTTAGATGTCTATAAACTGGGTCATACAAATACCTCTTACGGTACCACTTAACCAATTTGTTCCTGCGTGCCTAGCCATCAGTCTGTATCTATCAATACATGTGAAAATTGGATTATTTCACTCAATTTTAAAGAAATAAACTTTGTGAATACATGCTTTGATCAAATGTCCTACAATGACTCATAGTTTTGCAAAGAATAATAAAACTCTAGAAGCTACTTATCCACATACTCACGTATTTGACCGTAAAACCTTAAAGTTACATGGGAACATCAATGATATAGAGGTCTTCAAGACCTAGACAAAGGAGTCTTCCTTACGTATTTTAAGATGACAGTTTAATCTATACGGGTGTAAACTAAACAAGTTGTTGTAAAGCAGCCGAGAGTAAAAAATTTATGTTATTCCCAGGCCAACTATCTCCAGACTTCAAAGAAGTATGCCACGCAAGTATGTGCTAAAGGAACTGCACTCTGTCTAGACTAGACTTTTAATTGTTAAAATGCCACCTTTAATCCTTGTGTAGACAAGATTTTCAGATTCCAGATATGGTAAGGAATTTGCCATTAGTTTGTTCTGGTGAATAAGTGATGCAAGGAGGACAAGGTGAGGTTTTTGTGGCTTTAGACTTATGTGAGGACAAAGACTACAGACGATTTTAAGAGACTTTCTGTAGGACATATGCTTTTGGCCTATCAGCAATTTCCTTAATAACCAACTGCTTTACTTCCCTATGAAAACATATTTGAAACAATGAAAAAAAAATTTAGCCCCTCCACATCTCCACTTCAGTTGTGTCTTACGGTCTGAAGACAAACAGCATGCGTACTAAGAATTTTTAAAAAATCAGTTAATGCAGATGGACTTCAGCATATTGCATTGGAAGATGTAGTGAAGTTTTCAACTCGCTGTAAGGGAAATGGAATGATATGTCCTTGATGCACATCACTGCTAAGACAGCTACATGTCAGAGAATGTGATTCTGAAGGGGCAATCAAGTTCAAAATCCGCAACTACTTAGATAGTAATTTGGAATCGGAAGGTTTAAGAGTCTCATTAACATGACTATACAGCTCAAAGTTTGCTTTTATGGAACAGCTGTGACACATAAATACACGCCACAGTGAGAAGATGAGTGACAAAAATGCAGAGTATGGATCTGCTGTGTGTATGGACATACTCTTTGTCTTCTGTTCAATAACCATTTCAGTTGCTACTGCACATAAATAACATCAGTGAGAATGTTAGAATGAGAACAACTAGAAATGGAGTTGAAAAGCATGTGCAAATTAAGGTTCTAAAATTAGTAGTAAAGTGTTTTTAAACAACATTAAGCACCTTGTGAAAGCCTGCTGTATTTAAAAGTGGGTTAGTTACAGTGAACACACAGGAAGATGAACACTTCTAGCATCAGAATCTGGAATGTTCTGGTGGTTTTAAACTCAGTTTGACTATGCCCCTTAAAAATTCTTCACTGTGACAATTTATCCAGTTTGAATCATGAATTTAGACATGTAAGACATCTTGTAAGACATCTTACAAGTCTGGTCTGAGGTGAATTAAAGATTACGTCAATGATTGCCTGTTACGCAAGATTACTTAATACCTGTGACATCTCCTGCCTTCGTACAGCAGACCAGATCTACAAAGCACCATTCAAGTAAAGGTTTTGGCGCTGTGAGGTTTTGAAACTCAAGGTTGGCAATTGACTCCTGATAATCAGAGAAAGCAAATACTGAAGAACTTCAACTCAAAATTAAAAGCTACGAAATTCCTGAGGACCTTCATGCTGGCAGTGGTGAATGCAAGCTGCATGAGAGATTCGTCTGCTTCTGTCTCAAGTCAGCTTCATTGTGACAGGAGCAGAAAGGGTGGAAGAGATCCCAGACACCTCCACAGAAAAGTCTCTTCATAAATCACCACTTGATACTATGCAAAACAGAATCATTCAGCTAGCTAGAAATGGCTGGTCTATAAATCTTCCCCTACAGTCAGTTTGACTTTCAACACTGATTCTCAGAGAACCTAATTTTTCTGGAAAAAAGAACAAACCCACAAGCCATGATAGTCAGGATAGTTAAAGCATAAAAACCTTGGTTCAAAATTTACTTCTCTCTGGCAGATAGATCTTTGCAAAAAGATAAATTAGGTTGACAAAATTAAAAAGTGCATTTCATTTTACGAGTAAGAGTTATGGAGAAATTACCTGAATGGAAAGGAAACTGCTGTTTAGCTTCTCCTGTGTGAGCATCCCAAATTATTGTTGTCTGCATCCAAAGGAAAGGGGAAAAAAAGAAGATTAGTGACTGTTCAGCGCAGAGAAAACAAATTGAGAGAGCCCTCACTGAGGAGCAATTCTAAAAGATGGACTGATAAAATTATTGACTGCAGAGAGCCTTGTGTGCTGAACAGCTGAAAAAGCAGAATGAAACTCCCAAATATTACAGATTAATAATCTAAGTGCAGATAGAGAAGTATCACCCCTACAAAGGAGGAAATGTAACTACTAAGAACAGGCATATTTTCTCTGAATAATGCTAGAAGACAGCACTACAAATTTTTAATCAACATTTTGTAACAGCTGTTTCAGTTATCTCCTTCAAAGATGACTTTTTCCTCCTTTTTCAAAGATGCAAGTTGAATTCTATTGCAAAACTATGTAATACTCCATTTCTAACAATTAAATCACCAAGTGAAATGTTTATCTAGCAGCGGAGTACATAGCACTTCTTGCCACTGTGGTGGGACAGACTAAAGTGTAATTTGCTTACTATAAGTTTAATCCATATTCACAGCACACATAAGCCACCCTCCTATAGAGCTCAATGCCACCTCCTGAGTGTATTGTCAGTTTATTGGGAGTACATACTTCCAGAAAATAAATTAAAGATGCCTCATCTTGCCAATAATGGATCATCTAAAGAATCACCGCTGTTATTGGGAATGTAAATTTGCCAGAATAATGGAACTGCCATTGGGAGGTAAGTGTAGCTGAATACGGGCCAGTATTAAAAGGAATAAAACTCTAATTTTCCATTTTCACAAGTATGTGGAAACATAGGGATTCACCTATAGCCTACAAATCAGATGTACAAGCCTGAGCTAGTTTCCCTAGACTCACTCTGTCAGCTGCTGGAGAGAAGCACTGTCAGTGCATCTCGCTGTAACACAGGCCACTTTTCTCTCCAAATTTTATGAAGGAAGCCAAGGATGACGTACACATCTAATTTTTGATCATGGAAAGTTAGGCAAGATGAATGCTGTGTACTTTCCAGTTTCAGTTTTAATGGATTTGTGCTCATCATCATCAGTCATCTGTTCATTTTCATCTCTAATATTCACTCAGTTGAAACGACCGTGCCTTCTCGATTATGAGTTCAGAACTATAATTTTTTGCATATTTGCATACAAAGCCATATATATTTTATTGAAATACAAGTGTTACAATAATTAGATGAGCTAAAAGGTCAACCACCTTTAAGATCCCTTCCTTCCTGGAAATAGTTAGATGATAAAGCTATAAACATAACTAGCGGAAGCATTTCTTTCCTCAGCTGAGAAAAATTTAAGACGCAATTTTACACATGGGGCAAGTGTAATTTTTTTTTTTAAAGTAAGATCTTTTACATAAAAATAGTACATATTTATGCAGCCTCAAAAATGTAATCAACATGCACTAAAACATATTAAAGAAAAATAAACTCTCCAGGATGCCCAGAGGAGAAGAAAATAATCTTATGGAATTCAGCAGCACAAGCTCCCTGAGTCAGCACATTTACATGTTAGAATAATGTATTTTAAAACTCACTTTATCAACACCAGCACTTAAAATATAATTCCCCTTTTTGTTCCATTTCAGGGCAAATATTGGACCTTTATGTTGACCTAAGGTGCTTGCAAGGTTACCTGGAATAAAGAAAAGGTTAATATTATAATTTGTTTATAAATTAGCCAAATTACAGTTCATTGCTGTTCAATGCTTAAGAAAAGTAAGTGTTGTTTGACTTACCATCTTCTGTCCATATTCTTGCAAAACCATCGTATGAGCCTGTTGCCAATAGTGTTCCATCACTCTGTTGGGATATATAAAAATGGCAAAGGTCGATACTAGATGGAATCTGTTTCAATGAACATTTTTCTTTCCATTTCTTTTTAAGGTTTGTGCATTGTGATTTATGGGAAATGTGAATCCACACATTGAGACAGATTATACTATGATTTAAACTAAAGGTTATTACTGCAGTCAGCAAAGAGGAAATAAAACCCTCTAACGTACTGTGAAATACTAGGCTACACCATCAGGTAAGAGTAATTTAATCAAAAGGATTAGAAAGCGAAAACAAGATGTAACAAATTCTATGGGATTCTTTCAGATAACAAACAGATACTACTTCTTAGATGTAAAGAGCCTATAAAACACCAACAGATCATCTAAATCCTGACTAAATCTCAGCTGAGTGAAATTCAGGCACCTCTCCTTGAAAGAAGGACCCAAACACCTAAGCCACTTACACTCACGGTTAACACCTCGAATGCTATCTACCACAAAGAAGCTGCTTTCTCTTTGTCCGAACACAGACTCACACACATGCTCAGAGGCACAGTACCATGATGGACAGCCTAAGAGAAGTTGGATTCATGGGTCTCATTTAAGAGAAAAAAAGTGTGGAAATCATAATCAGCATGTATTCTCCTGGAAGGTGCCCTTCATTGAACGGTATCTCGTGTGCAGCCAACAATGCTAGAGTTATTGGGCCAGAATGAGAATAATTAAAAAGGAACTTGACTCTGTACCCTGGTGAGATAGGTACTGCTGGAGCTGGGCGTCTAGTCTTCAAACATTTCAGCACCTGGATTAGGAGATTCATCCAATTTATCTCCAGATGTCCAGAAGCTAGGAGTTAGTTTGAGAGAGTAACCCAGTCTCCCTCTCTAACTAACAGCATCACCCACCTCTGGAGTGTAATTCATAATCCGATTTGCTTTACACTCTGCCAAGACCAGCACGAAGACACGTCTCTGTTTCTACTGACTTAGAGGGAGCCTAGATGACTAGCTTAGATGGTTAAATTTAAGGGAGGTGAATCCTATGCTTGATACCAAAGGACATGATCTGAATATGGCCTCTAGAAAGAACCTTTCTTATCATAACATAAATCACATAAACCAGAGAAGAACTAATTTAATATCACCAGTGTGAAAATTTCACAGTGAAACATGATTAATATTTTGGTTCTAAATAAACAATAAAGGCAGATGGCATTTCTAGCATCGTGAATAGAAAATTAGAGAATGGCATAAAATAATCCTTTAAAACATACGTCCATTCCAACCCTTCAAAAATAGTAAGTCAGAGCAGTTGTAGATTTAACTTAAATGTGTAACAATGTAGGGGGAAAAATATCAAAACCTAAGCCAACTTCAACTGTGATATACACTTATCTGGACCACTGATGAGAACAAAGGCAGTAAGAGCAAAAAGAGAAAAGGGAAGGAAAGCTCAGGCACTGGATGTACAGTTTATCCAAATTTGTTGGTAGTAATTCATATTCTTTGGAAAACTTGAAGTAAGTTGGAAGGGCTTCAAGTGTTTAAGTTAGGAACACTTCCTTACATTAAGTACTAGAACAATGCATGTGAAGTAGTAACCAACAAAGTCTGGAAAGGCAAGAAACTACTACAGGAAATACTACAGGATGCCCTATATGTTTTGGACGACTTCTCTCATAACTGTTCTGCACCTCTGCATGTTTTCCTCTTTCAATTACTCTTTTCCTACTCCTCAATTCATTTTTCCCCCACTATTTTTCTTCACTGTGATATCCACAGGAAACAAGTCATGAACATTCTTAGGTTTTATCTTTATTTGCTTTGTTAACCTACCTTTACTTTCCATACTATTCACCAACTTCTTTCATTGTGTCAAATACAAAATGCATAGGGGAAGCTGATTTGTGCAGTGGCCTTATCTCTTACTTTTGTGAAGCACATAGCTCACCTGAAGGACAATAATACTGCAGTAAAGATTTAATCAAATCTTGGTCTCTGGCCAGGAACTGAAACTGTATGTAACTGCTAAGCATCCTTTCTGGTACTTAATTTTTAATCTGTTTTCCTACGAAAACAAGACTAATGTGATAACTCTGTCTGTACCAATATCAGCAAAACAGACAGAATACAAGTGATCTCAAAATTAATTAAGGTTCCTGCAAGGTCCTGTAAGTTCTTTTTACAATGCTTGGTGGCAGAACGGAGACATGAAGCAGGCTTAAAGCTGCCCAAAGACACTGCCCAGACCCTGGGTATTCTTAACAATACCTGTCCTCTCTGCTGACTTCAGTCTTCTCCGTGCAGGACCATATTATCTAAGATAGAATGTTTTGCAGAATGAAAGTAAAAAAGGGATGACGCAAGACAGTCCTACCCAGAAGGTGGGTAGGTGAAGACAGAATGACTACACATGCTCCTACCAAGATAAAGATGATAATGTGAGCACATTTTGCTACGCACAGCATAATTCAAATAAGAGAGGGTCTCAACAGTCCTTTGCTGGTGCTTCTATCTCCTCACATGCCAAAATAAAGTAACTATGAGATGCAAATACATTATTAATCAGGCTTCATTACTACAGAGATTGCTTGTTTAATCTTCATTCTTAAATTTATCTAAGTTTATTTTTATCCATGCTGCAAAAATAAGAGATATAAATACATCATTATTAAGCTTGAAGATGGCAACAGTCCTGGAAAATTATAGCATATAGGGGAAAGTTCAGTCTATTATAAGTATTTGAAACAAGAGGTCAGTAGGTTAGAACAGAACTTCTGGTCATCTCAGATATAAAAGATATGAAGCAGCAGCTGTAATTGCCTCTGAATTAAATTTAGACAGATAAAACCCATACACAGTCTTAGAAGTTAGCTTACATTCCAGTCCAATGAAGTCACATCCTTATTGCTGGGGACATCGTGTCCTCCTTCTCTTATGCAGTGCCTCAAAACTAGTTGAGTGGAACCGCTGTTGCTGTTTTCATTGAGATTCCATATTCTGGCCGTTGAGTCTCCGGATCTATAAAAGCAATTGTGCAGAGATGAAAACTCCTCTTGGTGTCGACCCAGGAAACAAAGCAACAACCTCTATTTCTGTTTTCATTGAGAGACCATCACAGCCTTTAAAATGTTAATTTTTCTTTCCAATTCTGCCCTTCCTCCACTTCTGTACTTTTTAAAAAAATGCTTACACATATTTCAACGACAGGTTTTTGTCCTTGTCCACACAAGGACAAAACCACAAGCCTCCTGTAGAAAGTGTGCACAGTCCCGCGAGCTCCCAGTGTGCACAGTCCCGCGAGCTCCCAGTGTGCACAGTCCCGCGAGCTCCCAGTGGCTCACTGCGTCCCTGGTGTTCCCCCGGCGCTGCGCTACACTCCCAAGACAGCGTGAGAGGATCCGCAGGGCCACCACCCGCGGAGGTGCGAGGGTCGCCTTGGTGGCAGCCCCGGGGAAGGGGACCTCCAGCAGCGTGACAAAGGTGTGCGGCGCCTGGTCCTGCCCCGCTGCCTCGGGCAGCTGCTGCAGGAGCGGGAGGGGAGCTTAAGGCTGCCTTTAATTTGGCCATGGCCCTTTCGTAAGGTACTTCAGGACAGACCAGAACATAGCCTCTGACAGAAGCTGTTTGCAAAACAGCCTCTCAGCATTAAATCAAGCTACAGAACCTAAAGGTTAGGAAAGTAGAAAGGTAATTTAAATTCATTTTTAAAATTCATCTTAATTTCAATTTTTTAAATTCATGTCTACGGCATCCTTTGCTGTCTGTAGCTTGGCTGCTTAGCTCACATTGTCCGAAAAAGTGGCAAAATAACTATTGACATAGTAGAGCAAGATAGAGACAGCATCAGGATTTTCATCCACTTTATAGACCAAATATTTTCTAGGGAGATGTTTTTATTGCAGGCTGAAATCCCGAATTTGTCCAGAAAAAGTTGCGAGGAGGAAGTGAAGTGCTTATCGTAATCCGCTTATAAATAATATATTTATTTTCACTTTGCATAAATCTTTCTTCCAATGAAAAATGTCTCTGAGGTCATAAATCAATTTGCAATGGGGTAGAAGATATTACGCTTCCTAGTTTATTGGCATTTGTCTCTCGCTCTCCACCCCCCCCACCCCCTGCTGGCTTTTTTAAAAATAATCAATAACAAAATACCTCAAAACAATCCAAGTACCCTGGATTGCTTGTTTTGTCCAGAGGGTAATTTGCATTTACGTGCAGTAAGTAGAATCTTGGAGCAGAATTAGGATCTCTCTTTTATTTCCAACAATTCACACAGTCTAGATGAAATTTCGTTGTTGATATACCTGATGTGTTAGCTTTTCCTTTTTTTTCAAGTACTGACTAAAAATTCCTTTCCTATACACTAACACGGAGAAAAAGACTAAAAACCTGAGATCCATTTTTGCTTTGATAAGCTGTGTTTTACTGTAAAGGAAATTCATCACAAGAGAATATTAAATTTTCTTCTGGTCTACTAATAAAACATTTTAATTATTTATATTAAAAGTACTGGGCAAATTTTAAACACTTAATACATCTTCGAGTGCAAATACTGACCAATCAAGTATCGAACTTGATTGATGTTTGTGTATTATTTTACCAATTATTTAGCCAAGTTTTACAGGAGTAACAGTTCAATTGTAAAAGCAAAAACCTCTCTGGCTCTATCAGTGGCTCTGAGCTCTGCTGGATCATGGCACACCTGGGGAACGTGCCCCCATCTCCTCCAAACTCTTTCTGTCAGGCTGAGATGCGATGGCTGGCCAGGACTTTGCCAGCCCAACCACAAGCTACTGTTGTACAGCCACACCTTAATTTTTGGCACGTATCTTTCATGTTAGTGATTAAGAAATAATTTGAATCATGATAGCTTTTGTCACCATACAGAGCTGTGACTGTAATGTAACTCCCTTATTCCTTCAGACGTCTGGAAAACTGAGTAACAATTTTGCACACGACTAGAAAATTAACGAAGTTAATCATGAGGCTCAGAAGGAACATTTTTAGTTGTAATAATTTACAATAATGGCAACATAAGTCTTTCATAGGCTTGGGTTATTGGTTAACATGCTAAGTAGGAAATTCCTTCAGTGCTGGCTTCTCCACCACATAAGACCCCGGGCCAGCCCTGCCCTCATTGTAATAATCCAGTTTGTTATTGGACCCTGTGAATAAAGTTCTCAGCCACTTGGCTATCAAACACACTATCCTATTTGCTAGTTCTAAAAGGGTTATGTTTTGTTTTTTCAACAGTTTTATTTAGTCAGTTTTCTGGCAATGCTTGTGCAATCTTATTTTCCAGTATTTTAATTTTGTTTTTCCATTTTCTTCTTCCTAAGGCTACATAAGCTATTATGTGTCCCTGCAGAGAGGCTTTATAAGCCTACCAGTGTGTGGCAGGGGTATTTGTGTGTCTTCCCTTTTGTTGCTGGGGAAAAGAAAAAAAAGAGTATTCCCTGCTCTGCAAAGTATACTGATTTCTGTTGAACGATTCAGTGAACCCTGCCTTATTAGAGGACCGTAGTTCAAGCACAATTCAGAAGATATTTAATCTCCTTAGCCCACAGAAGCATTTCTATCTGCATGATAAAGCAGCTCATTCCAACATGCAAGTCATGAACACTTGAGTAATAGGTATACTGTTCTGCATTATGGTGAAGTACTGCCAAATTTTAGGAAGGCTAGTTCTGAAAGATTTTTATTTCATGCTCTCCAGCCCCAGTATAATCATGAATCGAGGTGGACGAATGTTTGCAGAATTTTTTTTGTGACATATAAATTCTCCATCCTGTAACTGTCAGTACAGAGCTCAGAACCGCCGCCGTTGGGCAAAGAAATTTGCATGACGGTTGTTGAACTTTGGTATTTCTAATCTTCAATAATCACTGTTATTTTGATATGCAATATTGCTAATGTGTATTTAATACTTCTGGCTCAAAGAGGTTAGACATTCATTATTTTATTTTAAAAGAGATTATTAAAAGCATAAAGGGAAAGAAACGCCGCCTCATAATGTACACACCTAACTTTTCCTTAATAAAGCAGGTCTCTCAACGTTAAGTGCTTACGCTTCCTAGGCAGCCTGGAGAGGGAAGTGCTCCAGAGGTATCCAAAGGGAGATCTCTGTCCCACTGATTCTATAACACTGCTCCCTGCAACAGGTTATTCAAACGGACCTCACCTAATAGCTGACCACTTTGCATTAATGGATCTGATGCAATAAGGAAACTGGTCCCAATAAAGTCACCTGCTAATGAATAAGCACTTACAGTTAGCAGAATTAACACCTGGCACTGTCTGGGCTGAAATCACCCCCCTCAAATTGGTAATTTAAAAGGATTATTCAGAAAGGTAACTCACAGTGGATCCTAAACAACAGATATGAGGAATACAGTAACTCGAAGCATTATATAAAACCCAGACATGATGACAGGAGATGGCCTAGAAACATCCTTTCTTGCTTCTGAGAGACACAGCCATAACTGAGAGATCTTGGGCAACAGCTTTTATGGCTCATTATTCTGCTGACTAGGGAGAGTGAAGGTGCAGGAAGCACTCTGCAAGAGTCAAAGTTCCCCTGTGTGAAAAAGGCTGGTGTAGATTAGCAAAGGTAAGAGATGAAACCTACTGTTGGGTTTTTGGAATGAGGCCAGGTCCCTCTACTTCACAGCTACGAGAATTACTTGAAGGTCATGGCTGGATGTAACAGAACAGAGCACGCTCTTGGAAGCAGCAGCGCAACGTGCGCACAGAGCATCCTAAATTCAACTAGCAAAGCTTCTGGAGTTCAATGCTCTGGCAACCTTGTCATTCACAGTCCATCCACTTCCATACCATGAAACTCGAGCATGTTCAGGAACACCCTGGGTCACTGGACCCCGCTCACCTATGCTGGCAAACTGGTAGGTTATTCCCTGGCCGCTCTGGCCTGCTGCCCTGGCGTTCCCTCTGAGTAACTCCTGGGCATGGCTTGGTGCTTATAATGGTCCAGAGACAATTCTCAATGTGCAGTTTGTTTGGCAGCCAGGACAGTTTACTAGCTCAGATACTGGCCGTTCTCTGCCAGTTGGCCTTGGTGCCTAGGAATATTCCCAGGCATGGTTAGTTTACTGATGTGGACATAGCTGTAACGGGTTTCTGCACTACCCAGGGAACATAACCATCTGTAACAATTTACACGTGTCATAAAGTTAAAACTTAGATATTGAAAGATATGTCACGGAAGAAGTCAATCTTTGAAGAGGGGGACAACTGGCTTTTAAGAGCAAATTTGGAATTATGTCCAGGAATGGACAAATCTTGAGATTTAGCCAAACACCTACTTTTTTTTTTTTTTTTTTACCTTTCCACTATATGCAATTATTTATTTTGGCATGTTGATTTCCTTCATAAAGGGTAATTAATCCTCTTACATGGCTGTATGTATCCACTTTACCGCATTATTATAATGCTACCATTCATAACACCTAAACATTCTTCTCATGAGCATTTGGTGACAAGTCATTCCTTTGGTAGCCTTTACTGGTATCTCTAGTCCCCTCCATCCTCCACTTTAGGAGTTATGGCTGTGGTGGAGGAGGAAAAGCAGCTGCAGAATGTATTTTTTCTGGCTATTTGATCAGAGAAACTCTTGTCTCCAGTATTTGGTTTTTTTAAAATAGCCCTTTACAAAGTCCAGAGTATATATTCCTGTGCTGGCCTTCACACCCTAAAAAGTCATGGCAAATGAGTAGATGGGACATCAAATATCAAAATCCTTTTCTATCAGTGGGATACTCACTAAACCTGGAAACCAATGCTCTAGTTTTGCATAATTCAATCTACAGACAAATCCCCTTACACAGTTTGCTTCAGATTAGGTTGTGAACCTGCATTATTCCTTTAGTGCTTTGAAGATTACATCAGGCTGCTGTCTAAACTGCCGCTAATTGCTAGAAAAATTTATTGCTTGTATAACAAGGCTTGAAGAAAATACATTGCCACAAATTGAGATTCGATTGTGCTAGGCACTTTACAAACAGAACAAATGTGTTATTTCCTTTATTTAAAAGCTAGGTTTTAATATGTACTTTTTAAGAAGGCAACAGATGGGTACAATCAGGCAGATGGGAAACCAGAAGAAAACTACGGACTGGGCAGCACAATATGGCCATTATAGAATCTAACAATTCAGTGTTTGCACATCAGACTAACTGCAGTTTTCTTTTTTGAAGCGCTACTTTGTGAAGGACAAACAGAACTGCAGCATACTGTAGATCTCAGGGAATTTCTCCCCCTCGTTTAATTGGTGTCATAATACACAGTGTACCTGTAGATGATAGCTTGCACTGTTATTATACCAGACATCTCAAATACTTTGTGCGGTGGCATTACCAGACACTCAGCTCTCTTCCTTCAAGTTTCATTTTCTTCCGTGCTTACTATGCCATTTCAGTCATGTAAGCTTCATCAGGCACTCACTACTGCATTACCTGGAGGCTAACTGCACCACATACGTTGTTTCTTATGAGCAGGCTAAAATCTGATCTAGATGCCCATGGATTTAAATTATTTGCATTTTCATTGCATTGCCATTAGTCTGCATGAGACAGAGCATCTGACTGTACTTTCTGACCATGCATGTATTTTTGTGCTTCCAAAATCAGCAGCAAAGCTTGTTAAGAAAGACCTATTACTCTGACGGGTAAAGCTTAATTGAAAGTGAGAAGATACTTCTCTACCTTAGACATCCGACTAAGGGTTCCGATTATCATCCTCCAGGTTTACCTGAAGCTGTGTAAGATACGACAGTCCCAGGGATCCAACTACCAGTGCTTAGCACCCTGCAGCAAAGTTAAACACCTACTAGTTCGTCAGTCGCTGCAGTACATACTCTGGTTTATTAAATGGTCCACTGGCTTATTAACTATGCACACTAGGACTGCGAACCGCAGATCCTAGGGAAGCAGTCCAGGACAGCAAGCACTGGCAGAGAGGTAAGTCAGATACCGGGAAGCAGCTACCAATGCTAAAGCCAACAGATGAGGTCTGAGCACCTATGCTTAGGAGTCTTAACTCCCTACGTAATGAGTTGAGAGATGTAGGTACCTGCAGAGGGACAGAGCACTTGATGCTTGACTTAGATGCCTAATTTCAGCTGTGCAGATATTCTCCAGAATAAAGCAGCATCTTCGCTTCATCTCAGGCGCCACCAGGTGTCCCTAAAGAATAATTCTGGATGGTATCCTTTCTCCCCACCGGTTTTCCTTTAGAAAATAATGTGGGTGTGCTAACTGATCACCTGAAGACTGTTCTCCATAGAATGCAATTCAATACCATAATGGATAAGTTTACTATTAAAAAAAAATATTGTTTAGGATGACAGGGCTAAAGGACTTCTATTGTATCAACAAATAGAGCCCCTCCATTTGAATGATGCTAAATAAAAGTATTTGCGAGCTATTGATCTCAAGACAGCCCATGAAATCCTAATTGAGTTTGCCCCCACAATGGGAAAGCTTTTCCAGATTTTATGAAACCTCTAAGATTTTCACCTTTAATGAGAAACAACCATAAAAACAATTTAATGAGGTTAACTAAATTTATCTTAGTTTTTGAGGTTTTCTTCACTATTAGGTCATGATTTAACATTTACGAGTAGTCAAAGCATTTAGGCATACATGGAAAAGTTAGAGGAGTAGTACAGGAGCATCTTCGTTCAGTATCACTTGATGTTGATTTACAAATTGTTATGCTGGCAGTAACATTTCATGAACATGACAGATTCTCTGCCTTCCCTTGATTCTTTTTTTTCCCTTGAAAAGATCCTCTCAGATTTGGGCTGGGACGGTTAAGGAGTAACATATGCCACAGTTCTTCCACATTTGTCAATCCTAATTTTTATTTATTTATACATTAACTAAATCTCTTTTTTATGGCTCACTCAACTGTATGCTGGGAAGAGGACAATCTGTGTGAAATAACTGTTTTCTGCTTGCTTATTTGAACTGGTGACTGATCTTAGTGATCAGGACTTCCCTTCTTAATAACAATAATCTGCTAGGGATAAGTAATACTGCCAAGCCATACTGTCTGAGACACTAGAAAACTGAGTGGATAGAGGAATACAGTTAGCAGAAAATACAGCAAATGCATGGCATAGCAGCACGGCTGCTATTACAGCTCTTGTCTGTACCATGGCATCACTCAGGGGCCCTAACACAAACCAGAATACTCACTGAGCCTATGAAAAAAACGAGTTGAAAACCGAAGTTTTTCATCTGAAAACCCTAAATACAGCTTTTGCAAATTCTACTGCTATACCAGGTCTAGGCATTCCAGAAACAAGGTGTATTCAGAAGGATTGTATTTTCTAAAAGTCTGTTGTCTGAAATTATTCTTTGAAAACTGCTGTCTTCACTCCCTTAGAGATCATATGCTCTTTATCCAACCCGATATTTATTTCAGTTAATGACTTTTATTTTTCCTATTTATTCTGTCCCATTTGCACTTTCCTTGTTTTCATGTATTAAGTCAACAAAGATCTCAGAAGAAGACTATACTGATGATCATGCAAAAAGTTGGAAATAAAGTAAGGACTTTCCTCTTCCTTGTAAAGTATGGTGATACTGTCAGGTAACTTTACGTGATGAAGGCTCATTTCTCTCCTCTAACTTCTATCAGCTTTCCTCCGCATTCACAGTTAAGACTTCTTAAATTTAGCCTTCTTTTTAAGGTTTAACTTTAAGCATGAACAAACACAGATTCTAACAGTGACAGTAGAGCTCTACGGGTATGTTTACATTAGCATTTTTGTTTCAATCAAACGCACTTTTTCTAAGTCAGTGTCCTGATTGTCCCACTTACCATGCTTTGGTTGTCACTGCTGAGCAGTCCTGGACTGGACTCCTTTTCAACAACAATAAACCAAAACATGCCCTCATCATCAGCACATCGGACCAAACTAGGTCCAGCATGAAGCCCCTGCCCCGCAATACAAGCAGCGTTGACATTAGGTCCTCACACAATGTTTGTGCTGCACGAGGCCAATGCAGACATAGCCAAAGAGAACTGTTTGAAAGTCTTCATACTTTTAAAAAGAAAACATGGATACCACAGACTTTCTGAGACTCCACTGTGAACCAAAAGCAGGAGGAGCAGGTTACATGAACTTCAAATAGATTGAGAATTATCCATAGTTGTTTCAAAAACCTTTGCAAAAATTTATGTGTATTCAGAGCCACAGAGTGCACATCTTAAATATGCAAACGCTTCATACTCTGTGTTACCTTATAATTACTTAACTGCTACATAGGTACAGTACTGCTGAAAAAAAAAAAAAACAAACCTGAAAAAAAAATACTACAACTTTCAGTTGCAGGCTGAAAAAGCAGTGAAGAGAGTACTCATTCATCTCTAGTATACACTCACAAGTTCTTGCATCCCTAAATACACTCAAATTGCAGCAGCTGGTTTCAGTCATGGTCTTACCCAGATGCTAGCAGGTCACTGACAGGGTTCCAGGCACAGATGAACACCTCTGATTCATGGCCCCGAAGGACTGTTGCTTTGTTAGGAGGAATTTCAACATCCCCGTCAATCTCCATTGGCTTTGAATGATTATCTGTAAGGAGATATACCAGAGTAAGTAGTTTGCAAGATGCTGTTAGGTCTGCTTTAAAAACAAGCTGGCTACCCATGGCCTAAAGCTTAAAGCAACGTATACACTATAAATAATATTCTGTGTTGTGTCACTGACCATATTACTCTATTTTCTTCCCTATGATGATTTAAATTTATGGTATTTCCTCAAAATTTAGAGCTTTCCAAAGTATTTTCTACAAATGCATGTAGCTTTTCCTCAAAAAATAGTTAGCATTTATTTTAGTATAGTTTTTTTTAAGCTGCCTTCATTAAAAATGACTTACAGATCTATTAAAATAGTGGATTGCCACATTTGAGAAAAGTTTTATGCTGTTCTTTTAAAAAATTAACATACAGCACATACATTTTCTTACACAGGGTCCTGTAAGTAATACGTGTGCTACTCACAGATGAAGAATGTACTGAGCAAGGGCCTCAATCCCTAAGCAGGCAGGGAAACGGTGAGTGATCACCTTCTCAAGGATATCATAATATATGCAAAGGTAGCAACTGAGGCAGAGATATACTCAACCTGCATGCTGTAATTCTGGGGTTCTTTAGACTGCAGTCTAAGTAACTTTGTTTTTATAAAGCTCTTCTATTTCCTTAAGGAAAAAAAGTGTATTTAAATTATGAATTTCTCTTAGTGGCAGCAATTCGTTTCAATTTGCATCATGAACAATGTTTTCACTTCAGGTTTTCATTGCTTCAGTATAAACCTTCCTCATTCAGCTCAACTTCCGGGCAGGAAGGCAAAATTAGTATCCTCTGCGAACAAGACACCAACCAAGGACAGGTAACACACTGAAACAGCAGACAGCAGATGTCACACGCAGAAGCGTGGCCCATTTCGCAGAAAGCAAATCCAAGAGCGGACAGCTGGCCGGCTGGGGGAAAGGCAGCCTTGTGTTATCTAATCAATACCTTGGCCAGCTGATCTGCTCTGGTTGATCAAAATCCAAGTTCTTAGTCTGGGTTATGTCTTTTAGTTAGTCATTCTTTAATCACATATGGAGATCCATAGGTTCGCAAGCGGAATAATTATGCTCCTTTATTGCCACATGTTTATGGCATTTAAAATCAGCCATCTGTCCCGATACTCAAGCTCTGCTGAGCTATTGCCCATCAACTGGCAAAACAGACTGTGACGTTGCACAACTGCCATCGGAAGGAAGATCTCCAGATTTCTACCCTTACCCAGGGCTTGCAAACACCCTGTTTCGCTCTGCCTAATTTCTGCTGAGTCACACAAGCAGCACTTCGCATTGCATATTTGGTTAGGGACCCTATTAACTATGTCTGTGCCATATCTACGCCACAGATGAAATGTAAGTCACGTGTAATTCAATGAATTGCATAGCACGGAGTATTGAAATTGGAGAACTAGCAGCAGTTTCGCAGCTCACGTTTCTTATTCAATATATCTAGATTTTTAACTACACTTATTACCTATGGACTTGTTGCACAAAACTAAACATACTACAAACGCCTATTTGTAAAATCTACACCTACGCTGCATCCCTATGTTAAGCATGGTCCTTGATAATTCCCTATGTATATAACTACCACAATTAATACTGTCAAGATATGCCAGTACTCCAGATTTAGCCTGACCCTAGCAGCTGGGAACTTTGAGATGATATTCTGAGAATATCAGGGCAATGAAGAGCAAAGCACTATTAAAACCCACCAGGAAGATATGAGTCTAGAGCTCGCAATCCTCTATTTCTCAGCACAGCACTGAGTCACCAGGTTTAAAGCACATTTTCATGAGAAAAACAGCAGCATGGTAATGGCTATGCATTCATCTGTGTCCTGTTCACAGTGCGAGTTGGAAGTTGGGGGTAAATCAAGAAGTAAGATCTTTCAAGTGCATTCATTTTAAAAATTAAATGAGATGCTACTCTTACCACATACGATCCTACTGCTATCTGACTGGCTCTGAAGGCAGAGCTGCTTTTCACTCTTGAATAAAGCCAAATAACAGCTTGGAAGCAGCATTACTCCAAGGTCAGAGTTACAAGGTGCTATCAGAGCAAGGCCATCTGATACTTACAAATATTTTTCGTTTGTAAAACGAAAGGAGGAACCTAGATACACACTTTGAATGTTATTAACTGCTGTGAAAAACCCCACAAAGTCATGCTGTGAAAAAGAAACCTTGATCAGCTGATACCTGCATTAGTACATGCAAGACTGCCTGGCCTCTGGAAGCAATGAAACACCTGCAGGATTATTTTCTATTGTCTTCCAGTAATGATTTTGACACTGCAGCTTTGATGGTTCAGGAGAAAAGGGAGGGAAAGATGAGCTGTCTTTCAGAAATCGTTCACAAATGTTCATATTGTGTGTGTTTTCTTCCTATTTTCATCAGTAGTCAGGAACATCCATATTTAGAGCCTTACTGTTAAGCACAAAACTTAAAATGCCCCATGGAACAAACAGGACAGTTCACGCTTCTGCGATACTGCTTCAGGCTCTTCTCAGATGCAGGCAGACACTAGCAACATAAAATGGATATGATTATGATAACAACAAAAAACTGCAGAAACCCCTGAGCACAAGACAGAACCCTCGTAAGAGGGCTGGTTCCTTACACAGCACGAGCTCTTGCGAGAGCCCTGGTCTCATCTGAAAATTTGGCTTTCCTATGGATGCAGCTACAATGTGTACATGGGAAACGAGAATAAATAGGTAAGATGCAGTAGCGATCATGAATAGGCTGCCTTTTTTTTAAAGTATCTTCAGAGCAGAAAGCTCTTGGTTAAGACCTTATCTGCACAAAGAATGCCTCTGAGGGGGTCTCTGAAAGAGGGGGCAGTTCTACCAAGTACAACAGATTCTCATCGGTGAAAAACTTAAGTCTGCAGCTCATATAGTTGAGGACTCTGCTCAAATGTTCACACAAACCATTTTCTAAAGGCTAGAGGATCTCTGCTTAAGTCTATGCTATATTCTAATTTTTTTCCTCACGTATTAAAAATCAAAATTAACTGGAAATTAAAAGTCATATTCCCCCAAAGTATTAAGTTTTTTTTTTAATAATTCTAACATACTAGTGAGTAATATTAACTCTCTATTTCCTCCAAATGAAAAAAAAATATTTATTTTTAAGAGCTTACCAGTGCTTACCCTGTCTTTTCTCAGGAAATGTGGGTGTTTTTTACTTAAACCTTTGACAGGCTGTTCACTGAGGTTGTTCTTTACAACCGTAGTTATAATAAAGGAACTGGGCTCAGCCTTGTTTTTCTTAAACCCATGCCAATCCTTGCAAATATAATGAAACAAATGACACTAAAAATATTTGAGTTGGAAAACAATCCAAAGTTTGGCTCCATTTCGACAACATGCCTTTTTTTTTTTTTTTTTTTTACAGATTTTTTTAAAGTGACTCAAAGCTGAAAACATTGCTCAGGAAGCAGCAATAGAAGGCAGTAATTTTATTTATTTATTATTTGAAGCTGCCCTCAAACTGTTATTGTTAGATTTTTTCTGTCTCACCCTTTCTTAAATCAAACCACCCTATCACATTGTATTAATTACAACATATACAAAACTATATCGTATCATATTAAATATATTGACACTTTTTTGGAAGACTTATAGCGTATTGGAGAACTCCATGTCAGAATAAATGCAAACTCGATTAACTTCCCAAAGACATCTCTTTCACCCACTTCCTCCATCCCACCTTTTAATGACAGGTGACTTCCAGGTTATGACTACGGATTAGCACACTAGTCAAAACCATCCCTATATATGCCAGTTCTGTGGAAGCCAACAAGACTGAAAATGAAGGTTTGGGAAGTTTCTCACGCCTTTTTGTATCAGCAGTCTTCTCTAGCCAGTAGGTCTTCCAGGTTTCACCTTACCCATCATACATTCTGTCCTAAACTTTTTTCCACTCCTACCCTAAACCTTTTGTCCTAAGCTAAGCTCTTGCCAGAGCTTTTGTCTTCGTCTATCCTAGACTAAACAGACTCTCTAAACACAGTGATAAGGGAAAAGGTAAGGCTGGATATACAGTTTGTCCAGCATAAACAATGAAAAGGAAGGGTATGACCCTTTTGTTACTTCATTAACATGACTATATTTTTCTAACTTTACCACTAGAGAGGGAAATAGAATTCTAAAAGTGTTAATCAGACCCGTGCAGGAAATTGCCAGCTAGATCCGTCAGTCTTTATTTCTAGTGGTTTCTGATAATTACTGAGGCAGATCTCTTGGAGATTACTTAAAGCAGGTCTGTTCAAGGGTGAGAATGCCAGTTTTGCAGTTCTGTGTGTATCTCCCATGTATAGTCCTCATCTGCAGGTGCTACACCACCTTGCTGCTATCCTCCAATGCCTCAGACAGAAAGGTTATAGCCCTCCCAAGGCAAGGGAGTCACACAGATCAGAGAGTTGGCTGCCCCTGGATTTCTAAGCAGCTTCTCTCCAAGCTCTTTCTCCTTAAATTGCAGACCTCACCTCTTCACTCAGGATGACCAACTGGCAGAACAGCAGCTGCCAACAGCACATGCCAGCTGGCCAGCTACTCCTTGAGGACTTTCTGTCTTCCCGTTGCCACTGCTCAGTTAACTGGTCTGCCTGGTAGGCTGCCTAGCCACAGTAATGCTTTGAAATTTGCAGTCTGGTAGAATATCTCACTGGATGACATGTATCCTGCCTCTGTGAAATTTTACTGGACAACACAGTGCCCTGTTCTTGCATCCTGCTCCAGACAGAGCTATTGGATGATATTCAGTCATACAGGACTTTTCCTCCTCAACACTCCAGGAAAAGTCTACAACCGTTCCTGAAAATCCTTCCTACTAAAATTTGCTGTGAAAATTATTATTTTTTTAATAAAAAATGGCAGATCTGAGAGACCATGGCTTAGAGTGTGGCCATACTTCTGAACTGATCTACAAGGCTTTGCTTTTGTTTCTTCAGATATGTGTTTCTTCAGATCAGAAGGAAGTAAGGCTGAGCAGTTCTGCGTTAGTGATGAACTGATAATCAGGATTTGGTTTTTTTGGTCCTGCGACAGGAACACATTCCCCTCAAATTTTCACAAATCAGCTGAAGGAAAGTGTCAACAAACAAAATACCAGCATTTGATACATTTAAAAGTGCTTTCGTTTCTGTTGGCACCCCTTCACATAAGAAGTAAGTTTAATTTCAAAACAACGGGTTAGTTGGAAGTAAAAGACAAGCATTCCATAGTCTAAAAACAGATTAACATTTTCAAAATTTTCAGAACTTTCTAAAAATTGCTTTCTCAAAAGAAGAATGTAATTTAAGTCACTGCAGTTTTATTGGGGGAAACTATGCCGTCTAACAGGAATTCTCTGAAGAAAAACCTGGTTTGAAAGCGTTTTTCTCACTGACCTACAGAGGAATCTATTCAGATCAAAGAGAAGATGGAGATTGATAAAGGTATCTACACTGCAGAACAAATAAAATCTGTCACAGGACTACAGTCCTGACCTGTTACTGTCTAACAGCTGTTGGGGCTTCCTACAAAACTTGCCATGCATGTTCCTCTAGAATTTCCTCGGAAGGCAATCAGGCATTAAGGTCTCATTTCAGAAGTCAGCCAGTGCCCTAATATGATCTGCACATTGAAACCAGAACCATCAATCTTGTCTGCCCCACGATGTTAGCACAGCCGTTAAGATTTAGTTACACAAGCAGGTATGTCCACTCCTTGTTTTATATGTCTGACTTCAGATGTCTAAGATATGAGCTCAGTCTCCCTCTGTCACCAATAAGCAAAGGTGAATTCAGAGCTCCTGTGAACGGACTGCTCCCATAGACGAAGGAAGTCTCGAGAAGATAGGACTTTCACTTACGTACCTGCAGTGGACTGTATGACTAAGCACGTGCTACTAAATAAAAAGGTGAGGAACTCCTTCCTCCGTGCCTTCAAGACAGGTTGGCTGCATCCAAGCTGTCTGCTGGGAATAGTCCTTGGCATGTGCGACTCCCTCTCCTGTGCTTGGCAATGCTGTTCAAGAATGGATAGCTGGTATAGACCAAACTGTGCCAAGGACCATGCCAAGGCTATGGATAATCACAGGATAGTGCTCAAGGCTATGCTCTGGCCATGTTTCATTTACACAGATGTGGCTTGTAAGTCTGAGCCTCTCAACCCAACTCCCTCCTAGCCTGGCCAAAATGACAAACTGTGGCTACAGCTTGTCCCAACTTTTATCAAATATCTAAAGGCACTTATACAGCTGATAATATTGACAAAGTCTGGGTAGCCTACTCCAAAGAGAGAGCATACAGCTCCACTTCTTGATGCTGGCTTCAGCTTGCAATTCTGAAAATACCTCAAGTTTTTGGATTCTGAGAGGACACCAGTAAAGCACAGTGCTGTGATGTGAAACTCAGCAGCCTTTCTAGAAAAAACCTCCCCCCCTGAAATGATTCCACTGAGTTCTACCACCTTGCAGACACCAACTAAGTACAAGAATATTCTTGAAACTCAAATCTACCCCAGTAGTGGCAAGCAGCTGCAAGGGTTGGCTTACTTATTGCATGTGCCCCATTCTCCTCTCCATTCACAGTGGCTTCTCCGTTCTTTGGTGTGTTCTGCTGGGAAACAGCAGTCGTCGTCGCTCCTGCTGTTGCTGCCGTTGCTGCCGCTGCCGCCCCCGCACTGGCTGTCCGCGCCGCTCCCGCCGCCGCACTGGCTTGTTGCTGAGCTAGTTTCTCTCTGAATGCTTGCTGCCGGGTCTGTACAACATCAGGCATCACCGCGTCTATCAGAGACAGTGATTCTATCGGCCTGCCGTCAAATACTGTACCATCCTGCAGGGAAAATGAGCAGAAGTGAAACTGCAAGTTTAGGATCTCCACCGCTGAGGTCGGCAAAGAGGTATAATGAAACAAAACGAGGTTGTGTGAAGATACTGCACTTTGACTTAAGCAACAGTGCCGTATTACTACGTACCATCTCTCTCTTAGATCCATGACAGTGGTACCCACATTCTACTTAGAAAACTGTTTGGTAAATAAGGCATTTGTTGGAATTTTGTAGAAAATTCAGGCATATAAACTCTTTACAGATGCAAAAAACCTTATGCTGTGGAAAACAAAATGTCTGACTGATGACAGAAAGTTTCTCTTTGTTTTGTATCTGGAAAAAAAGGAGTCATGGCTAAAGCCATGACAAAGGCAAACAGACTTCGGTTGAATTGTTTGTCTTCCTGCACTTGCAGAGGCATAGGAATGGAAGCAGCTGATGAATAATGAACCTCAGCCAAAACAAGACGTATGCGCAAATTCAGTGGTTTCTTCCACTGCGTTTATCAGCCCAGCACCACCAGTTGCAGCTGATTGTACAGGACTGCTTTACCATTATTTTTCCTTTTTTCCGCTAGTTTTATTTGTGATAGTTGTGGCTTTCATTTTGATTTCTGTAAATCAGACTTCAACAACTCACCGAGTTAACCTTTAAGGGCTGTTTTTTAAGACTTAATACAGACTTAGGTCAACAACTGCTGTATTTACTTAGTTTTGCTTCACTTTCACTTTCCTATTCACTTAAATATAGGAAAAAGGTTTTAGTAGCCTCCATAAAGTGCTATTTTACTGATCATCTGCAAACTCCCTTTCATTCTTTGAAATAATCAAGACGTAGCAGTGAAAGATTTGTATTTGATGAATAACAGATAAGATTAGGATATGGACAGATGAAGCAGCTGGGAAACTATCATTCTCAATAGATAACAATAACTAATGTAGAAAAATAGCAGCTTGGCTGACTAGTATCCTTCTGTTGGACTAGTCATTGAATTACCCCTTAAAATTACAATATTAACATAATACATACTTGCTTCCTCGTGGGGAAGAAAAAAGAGGAGTCACTAGAGAAGAAAAATATAAGCTCTCTTTCTCCTCAACATTTTTTATGTAAATGTCTCTACTGACATTTATTTGAATCCTGGCTCAAGTCTTTGCTACACAATGAAAAAAAATGTTTGCCAATGGATTTTGGCTCTTACATTTTTAACTGTAAAACTACTCACTGGACTATTTCCATGACTGCCCTTTCACAGATAACAAACAATACTTTAATTCTATACACTATTAGTTTACACTTACCTATTACTCACTGCTCTTAAGTAATATGCACACATAGAGAAGCATATATGTAGCCATTACTGCTGTTCAGACGTAGCAAGAATGGCCTCTGCTTTGCTGTAATGTACTTATAAGTATGTATTCGAACAGAATTAAACCACGATGAGAGCAACATAAATCTTAATGGTGACAAGAGGCATATTTTTAGATTTTCTCTTAACTGAGGCCAATTCTGAAGCTGGATGCACAGCAGCAGACCCCTACAGCCCTCATGCGACCTGAACCAATAGGTGCTGTTCATGACTGAAAGTTTCTGACTGTGTAGCTCCTATTTCAGGCACAGGGCAAAATGTTAAGTAGCAGCAAATTGGGACAGATTCCTAACACTGGTTTGTTATTACAACTGCATCAAAGTACAGCTTGGCATGAATGTCAAATGTCATTGCCCCAATTAAAACATAACATATATACAACTCTCAAACACCGTATTGAGTCATGAAAAGAAAACCACACCGAAAGTTAGTGATAAAAACGAACGAGTTTCCAAACTACACATTGCAAACACCACCACCTTTTCTCTACTTTATATTCCTTTGTTCTCACCCATGCTGTTCACATGCTACATTCAGCTATAAAGGAAAAAGCAATAGCTTTTTAGGTATCAATATTTATTACAGATCTCTGTCAATTACGAGTATCTGTGGTAAATATTTTGTAATGCAGTACTTGCTTATCTGTCATGCTTCACTCCCTCTCGAAACATCACGCCTTTAGGGTTGGCAGGTTGGCTTTGCCCACATCCCCTCTTTGTTTCCCCTGGCAGTTCAAGGAGAAGAGCTTGAACCACTTTGAGGCTGCTCACACAATCCCCACAGACAACCAGCGTCCCAGCCAGAGGCAGAATTTACACTCAACCGTCTCACCACGCACATGAGAGGATGATGCCTGGTCTTATGTGATCTGAGCCAAAGTCACTGAAATCAGGCAGAATCTCTCCAGTAACTGCCGTGGATTTTTGATCAGGCTTCTCACGGCTTGCAAGCAGTGCTGCCTGCTAGCAGGTGTCAGGGGGTTAAGTTTTAACCTACACTGCAGGCTTTTCCTGCCAAATTCCGCTGTGACCTTGGAAACACAAGACTCTAAACACAGACACATTTTCTTGTTTGCTGCAAGAGTCTGTGCACCCCAGATTTGCTGACCAGGGTAGTGAAACACCATAAAACCCACTTAAGCATCATAAAGAAGGCCGCAACGCCACAGCTAAAAATTGGAATAATGTATCTCTGAGCTTTTCAGCTCTCTGCTGGGAGTGGGGCAAAGTCTGAGGAACAAAATGAAACCAGATTGACGGAAAGGGTGGAGCGGTGGCTTGCGTCTCTGGGCTTGTTGGGGACGCGTCGCTTGGCAAGCCGCGGCGTGCGGGGCGGCGGCGGCACTTACTTCGTTGATGCTGATCTCAGCCTCCACATACTGGAGCCCCTTCTGGAGGATGGAGATGAGTGCGGCAGGTGGCACTAGCGTCCCGTTGATGTTGGACTGGCTGATGTGGCTCTCGATACCGAAGGTGAAGGCCGAGTGGGAGAAACCTGAGAGCAGGAAAAGGAAGCCATGACATGAAATCTAAATGCACCAGCCAGATACACCTTCATGGTCTAAAAATAATTCTGCTCTGAGATCTGAGAGAGGCTGCCGCCATACGCAGAAGGACGCGGGCTGGCTGCATGGAGCCAGGGAGGTTCACCAGAGCCATCCTGACCACCCTGCCACCGCCCGCCCCCTCCCCGACACGCTGCACGTTCAGGGGAAGCCGTATAGACATGGAAATGCACGCAGTGAAAAGTAACCAGAGAACTGCACTAACTGAAAAGAAAAACACATAAGAAATGAGGAATCGTCACAAGGCCAAGCCCAACTAAAAAAAGTGCCTCCAATCTTCATTTCCCTTGCTGCATTTCAGGAGGGGTGTTTTCTGAAGCTAAATACTTAAATCCCTACCAGCATGCAAGTTGTATAAAATCAAGGCATAGATGCAGCTGGCACAGGGGAGCCATTCCCTTATACCAGGGAAGAGATTTCAAATCCTCAGCTCATTTATTGCTGAGTACAATATGATGTGCAGAGGACTGCCATCAAAACGTGAACCAACAGAAAGGCCGCTCCCGTAAACCTATTTTCTGAAAGCGAACGGTAATAGCAAAAGTAATTAATTTGGATCTGCCAAGCAGCAGGCGGCAAGCCGGCGCAGTCCTTAAACCAGAAGTCTTCCTCTTCTCCGTTTCATTTTTGTAATTGTCTGAGAAATAAGGGGCAATGAAGGTGATGGCACTGGAAACTAAAGAGTTTTAGTGGACAAATTTTAAGATTGGTGCCCTGAACGCTGGCTGAAGCTGCTCAAAACTGCTGCTGGGTACGCAGGCGAGCCCTGCAGAGCGACCGTACACAGGGGCAGATGCGGGAGGGGGAAGGGGGAACAGGATGTAGATATAACTGTAGGAACCCATTTATCACCACACTGTCTCCAGAGCATTAATCTACCATTAAAAGCCTTGGGGAAACCACCCATGCACTGTCTCAAACAGGAAGAGCCCTCGCAGTCCCCACCAGCTAGACAAGAAAGAAGAAAAAAAAAAAAAAGAAAGAAAAAGAAAGCAGCTCTCAAATGAAAATACTTCCGTTAAATATAGCTGTGCCTCTTCCTCTTGTCAACAGTAGTTTCATTTATAGTTTTGTCCGTTAAGGGATTTCCCCCCCATCACTGCAATGTCCAATCGCGTGTGGGCTGGAGGACGGGATTTTGGGCTCTCTCCACAGTAATGCTTTCTCTCTCTCACTCAAATTGTTCTCAAGATCCTTTTTGCAGCTAGTTCAATTATGATTGCAGATAGATGGCAAAAACAAGCCGAGAAACAGAATGCCTCCCACATTTGAAACCGAGGTATGTATTTCCCTGTGATTCTCTCCCCCTACACGTTTTATTTTGCCACTGTTTGTCTCCTCTTCCTGGTAACAGCCTCCATCCTCTCCCTTCCCGACCCTACCCTCCCTTCCTGGCACACCCCCAGTTTTGGGGGATGCTTTGGACACTTTTTAGGAAGTGGCAGGTCCATCTGTGAGCAGAATTACGTAGGATTACAAGGCATAAAAATAAAGCACAGGAAAAACACCTGAAAAACTGCAGTATCATTTACCAAATCCCTGGCCCAATTCTTATCCTGTATTGCTTTTTATATCCTGGTCTAGTTTATGAGCTGCTGGACCTCCTGCTGCATCCAAAACAGACTGCAAGATCTGCAGGGCAGTGTTTTTCCCTCGTTATTAGTTTTGTAGGACACCTAAGCACATTACTGGGCATCACAGTGAGGGAGAAATCAAGCACTAAGCATACACAGCCTGCGTCTGAGAAATCTAGGGCTTGATCACTGCACACCGAAATCTCTATGTATATATAAATACACGGCAGGCAACTAACCAGAATTAGAGAATCAGATTCCACTCAGTTTATATTTATGCGTATTTAAATTAATCAACAACAATGATACCTTCTTGAAAAGGAACGGACTTTAAAATGCATGATGGATAAATCTGTGAATCTGCTTAAGAATGGAGAAGAATGAGATAATTAAGCTGTTGTCCAGAAGCACTGAAGTTGACTGCTAAAAAAGCCAGCAGCTAGTTTGTGAGTCGGCAGCTCAGAAAATTGTAACACAGTCTCTGCTTCAATCACAAGGTGGCTGGCATAAAAATGGCAACCAACAAACATTGATAGAAAATGTAAAAAAAGCAGAAAATCGTTACTGTGGATCTACAGAAAGCTCAATTTTAATTATGGCTTTGTATCTCTCACTACTGCATTTGGTGTCTCGCAGACTTAGTTGGCTGCTGGCGTACTTCAAGCCCCATCTTTGCCAGCAGACAGGTGACAGTGGCACACAGCTACCCTCTTTGTCCAGCACTGAGTTGCCACATCCCCAAGGAGCAACATGTCTCACCTCACTGCACGTGCGAGAAGGAACTTCTTGGCACAAACCCCAGTTGTGTTATTGCAATGAGTCTTGGTTTTTCACTTGTTTCTCTAGACACCGAGAAACCATTACCAAAGCACCTGTTAACATGAGGAAGCACAAAACTCCTGGCTACACTGTCACTGAAGAGCAACCTCACTCACGGATCTCCAGTAGTTGTGACAAACTTTCCTAAAATTTTATCTTTACATCCAAGAATAAGATCCAAATACTGAAAATCAACGGAGCAAAACTGCTTCAGGGGGTGCTGCTGGTAACTGTGTTCCTCACCCCTCTTGGAAAAATCCTCCCATACAATTGTAATTGAAAGAAAAACGTTTGTTTGTCTGTTTGTACAGCAGAAACAAGCCAACCAGCCCACCGACTGATAGTTAACTACCTCCTGATTTCTTATGCTACCGTAGCATTTATATGACTCATGTGAAAGTAGACCCGTTTTAGAAGTAACACACACAGTTAACGAAATCCTGAATGAAGCTGTACCCACGTCAGGTTTCTGGTAACGCTGAAGAATCACTTGAGCTTTGCTTTTATAGTTACCAGATGTCATTAGTTCTCTTCGGGGCTCTGCGTGCGAGGATGCTCAATTATATAGCAACGTTGCAGCTCTATAGTTCACTCTTACACAAAGGTTATTTCTACTAAACAAGGGCGAGATTTTTTAAATGTTAGCTTGTGTTACAAATGTTAACTTGGCTCTCCTTCTAAGTTCATGAAACCACACTGGGGAACGCAAAGCCAAGGCAGCAGCATCCCCCCTCCTCCAGTGGCTCGGTGCAGGCTGTCAAGGCAGTTGGGGAGCGAGAGCAGAGACAGAAGGTGCTCTGCAAGGGGGGATCTGAAGAAAGGATGCGGTAGGGATGACATGAAATTACAACAGATCCAAACTCAAAACGCTGTAGTAGCAGCGAAATGAATGAAAGTTGCAAATCTGTGTCCGTATGCATGATTTCTCAAAAATTCTGTCATTTCGGTGACTGTAATAATCACTCTATAAAACAGTAACTTCTATTCCAATAGCACCCCTAAATGAAATCTTATCGTAGTACGCCCTTCGAGGACACATGCAATGAGACTATAAGCTTTTGAAGGTAAAGCCATGAACACAAAGGGCCGAAGGGGAGAGAGCATGGCCACACACTGAACTGGTTCCATACCAGTGAACCGGACAGTCACTTGTGCCGTGACATGACCAGTGCCCTGAACGGCACCTTTCGGCAGGCTTGACAGAATGGCTTCCACGTTTTTTCTACCTCAAAAAAGATGGGAAAACATAAACTGTCAAACTAGGTACAATCTCTAAACACATTACCATACACGAAAAAAAAAAATCCAAATGAACTTGGTATGATCACCTTAAAGGGAGGCGACCTATCAACTGCAGAATAATTGGTCTTGAAAGATTTTACAGAGCATAAAAGCACAGAGGATATAACGAATGCAGAAAAAATTACTTAAATGACCACCCCCAACCCAAAAATTGTTATACAAGTGTTTTTGACTTGAAAACAGAGTAAAATTCTTCATTCAGAGATTCCTGCACTTTTTTGTACTGACAGTGGTCCTGGTTCTGTATCTTTTCCCACACCAAGGTGTCTGTATATAATCTTAGCGGTACATACACAGACGTTTGGGAATTCTTGCCCTAAGCAGTGCCAAAAATGCATACGTAGGGTTGTGGTTTGCAAAATTTCACGGATAGATTTTGCTGTAACTGCAAGAACGGAGATGATAGAGATTTTTTTCCCCTTGGCTGCTCCTTTTTCAGTTAAAAAAGGCCTCGCCTTAAAACAAGACTTGTCAAAATCATAATACGACTAGGTTTTATTTAGCGAACATAATGCTGCTCTTCGTGCGCTCGTTTGATCTGCAGGCTGCATAATTTTAATTGTTGGTAGCATGCCTGGCTCACAGCAGAAACGCCTGCCAAATGTAGGTGCAGGAAAGGGCACTGGGCAGCCATGCAGCCCAGGCAAAGCCTTGTCTTCTCCAGAGATGTCTCTCACCTCTTCTGGGAGTGACAGATTCTTCCTTTTAGGCACACAACCAGGGTGCTGCCGAGTATTCCCCGTGCTCGCTCATCTGGCAATCACAGACCCAGCCGACTGACATTCTTCACTAAGTGCTCCTTTCATTTTCCGATCCCTTTAGCACCACAAAAAGCAGTCTTGTCTAAATCGCAATCTTAAATTGTAACAGCTACAGCACCTACTGCTGCGTTTGTACAGGTGGGGGAATGACAGAGAGGGGTCTGTGGAAGCAGCAGCTTCTGATGTGTTTCTTGGGAGTTACCTTGGGGATGCCCCGATTAGCAATAGTTAAGCGATCTGTTGAACGCTGCACAAGTTTTCAGTTTGTGAACTCATTGGACTTAGTTTTCTCTGGTAAATTTAACTGGCATACTGTTCAAATAATTTTTTAAAAAATTCATACTATGTGATTCTTCACTGAAACATTGGTTACTGTAGAATGAAACAGAGAATAAAGAATTAAGAACATCAAATTGCCTTTCACACTCATCTCGGGCATCTTTCTGATGAACAGCCTCTATCCCAACAGTGAGT